AGTACCTTGTTTTACAAAGATTGTTCTATAGCAGGGAGAACCATGAACGTGACTCTTTGTAAGTTTGTGTGTGCTTGTGATGGAGGAATCTTGTCCCATAGATCATCAATATATCAATTGTTATTTTTATTATGAGCTGAAACAAGCCATACACTAAATTTGTTTAGATGTGTTGGCAGTTTACACCTCTTCTGAAACATGATTTATAAGGAATGATTACTCTTTTGTGGACTGTTTTTACAGTGTTGCACTCAAATTACAGAAAGAACAAAGAAAGAGAAAAGTTGTTTCCCAATTGTAGGAAAGGAAGGGAGAGAAGCTTGGAGAAAGAACTTCTTTAAGCATTCCAAGAGAAAATGAAGCTAGTTCCCCAGGCCTCCAACCAACCTAGAGGCAGCAGAACAGACAGATTCCTCTTATTAACTGAATTTGTCTTTTGCATATGTTAACCTTTTATAACCATACTTTCAACTTTGCAATACAAAACATAACTCTATTAGAATTAAATTTATTTTCATAGTAAGCTTGTCAGATGATTAAAAATTAGTTCAACTAAAATTGACAAGCACAAGAAACTTCTCTTTCAAAGCAGCAACTAAAATGTGTTTCACAGACAAGTCATTTTAAGGTTCTACAACCTTTAAAAAAAAAAAAAAAAAAAAAAAAAAGAGAGAGTCATGTAAGACTCCCAGAGGACACAACAAAAAGTACTGAAGAGAGAAGTGTCAAATGAAAGGGGAGACAGCAACCTTTATTCAGTTCCACTCCAACATTGGAGAGATGGCCCAAAACGTTGGAAAAAATCTTATTGCCAGAATAGCTATCAGATCCTGTAAACAGGCAAGAAGAGATCTATACATTCTTTCCAAAATATCACATACTTGACACCAGACTGAACAAACAGAAATGCAAAGTGAAACTATCATGACCAGTACAAGACATTTAAGGATTCACTGACAGTCCATGTAACAGGAGAGAGAGACGTAGACCAGCTAAACCCAGATGAAAACTTTTGTCCATTCTAAAGAGGCTTCTCCAAATTGAATTTGGGGTTTTGCCTATCCAGTCTAACTAACTTCTCAGAGCAAGTCCAACTCAGAAGTCAACAGAATTCCAGTTATCCAAGTTGCTAACTGCAGATTTCAGATATTAATTGAAGAAACTAGTTTTGGCTTTGTGACAAGCAATGGAAAGTTAAGGTGAAATTTAATGTTAATAGCTAGATCTAGGATTTTATCCACTTGGCTACTCATAAGCACATACAGATTCCTCCTTGGAATTCTCCCCAAAGTTCATTAATCAACTTATTGTCCTTTAGAAAGCATATTGCCATACATTTAAGTGATCTAGTTTCACTACGTGTGTAATGGATTCTTTAGAAAAATAGAGTTTGATTCATGTGTAACTCAAAAACTTCTACTAAGAATGGGAAGCAGTAAACAAATGAATGGTATCACCAGGAGACGTAGTTTGAAGCTGAACACAGTACCTGAGTTTCTCCTAAGACTCTGTAACATAATTTTTGTAACAGGACACATCATTTCAGTAAATAGTATGTGCAACCTTCAGAACTATTGTTTAAATTGTTAGAACTATCAGGTATGGTAATTCTTACCCATGCTTCCTCACTTGCAGTATCCCCTTGAGAAAGTTTCTGTCAGACTAGAAATTGAACTCATATATTCCATGTACCCCATAGTTCTTAAGAGTTGACCTAACCATAAGAGCTGTGACCTTACATCCTTTTTGCCAGATCTCAGTGAAACCTCTTTAGAAACAATCCATCTATATCAAGCTTCAAAATACAAAAGCAATGTAATCTTTTTGGTAGTATTCAAATGGAAATAAATTACATTTGGCTTCCTGAACTACCGAGAAAGATTATGAAGTAAGAAGTAATACAGTCTGCTCACAGAAATACCAAAAAGAAGATGCCGAGCAAAATAATAAAACACCTGCTAGTTTCCTAAATGAGAGCAAGATGGAATTCCTGACCTGAAGGCCCTTACATGGCTGGGAATCTTTCAAGTAATACCAGCTGTTCTCAAATTAATGGAAGGTAAAACACTTTAGACTTTGGAATTCATTCCTCCATCAAAATAATCTGAAATCCCTTGTTCTCATTGGCAAATGACATATCATGCTATTTCTTTAATCCATAATGTTTGCGTGAACCTGAAGTGTTGTGGAAAAATGTTTTCAGGGGAGTGGCAGGTTTATTCGCCGTCATGAGTCAGTTCACTTGGAATTGATATGGCCAGGGCATTCCAATCTTTAAACATTGAACTACTGCAACTGTTAGGTGCAGACACAGGTAGATGCTGTCTGAAAATCTTGAAAAAACATTAGAAGACAGTAATAAGCCAATTACAGAATATTTCTGAGAGTAAGAATATTTTTAGCTCACCTGAGCAGTGACAAGGCAGAGTTATAAATGACTTTTATTATTAACTGAAAGAAAAGAAGAAAAAAAAAAGCAAAAAAAAAGAAGAAAAAAATGAGTAGGAAAATCACTTGGAATAGTTTGTAGAAATTTATATCTCTAGGAATTCAAAGAGAAAATCCAGAAGGTGTTTCTAGGAAATCTATATTTGAAAAATCTATTTGCAAAATGTTACACAAAGCAATATATCTTTTTAATTGTCAACATAAACAGCAATTGCGTATTTCTTTTCCCTCTGCCATGCAGAGATTAGCTCAGTGTATGCTAAATGGAGTTTCAGAATCTCTGATATCTCTTCCCTGTTTATAAAAGGAATCAAAACCCAGAAACGTAACTGTTACAACATATATACTACCACTACTAAAGTGTTATAGTTTAATGTAGCTCAGGGCATAACAAAAGAAACCCTAACAGGAATAGTTTGATCTTAAATATGGTAGGTAAACATTGCCACAATATCATTTTGGGAGTAAAGAGTCAGTTTTAAACAATTATATAAGACATTACTCTCCCACTAACAATATTAAATTTTAAAAGTTACTCTTATTTTCATAGCAACTACATATGTATGCAAAGATTTGTGCTACAGTTTTCACTGAGTTGCTTAGAAGTCAAAAAAAATAAATCTATTCATTCAAGCATAAGAACTCAATGTAATTTTGTAAATACTGAAGAGAAACGTTTTTACATTATCTAAAACTTCCTTTATAATTCCCCTTCCTACAACCCACTCCAGAAGTATACAGTTGTTATATCAAAATAGATATCAAACCAAAAGGGGTATATATAGAGACTACTATTTTGCCTTTTTTTTTTTTAAGTAGAAAGATTGACTAGATATTAACACAAATGGGTTTAAATGTGAAGCTGCCATAAAAGCAGGCACATAAATGTAATTCTCCCAGCCGCTATTTTGATGCACATTTTTGATTCCATGAATATTTTATGAAATGGCCCAAACTAAAGCCATATAACATTCCTGCATTACTGATGCTTGCGCCCGTAAGCTACAAACATTAGAGGCATGATTGAGTGCATTAAAATGAACTCATTCAGCAGTGCATTGATTACTTGAAGGAGGGGGGAAAAAAAAAAAAAAAAAGATGTTACTCCCACTTAAGAAAACAGCACACAAATCTGAAGTTTTCAATACTGAAATTAAAGATAGCAAAATTTGAATACTGTGGTATTTAATAAAGACCTAGTATCTAGAATTCTCTATATACAGTCCTGACATTAATTAGGTGAGATGTTAATTAGGTCCAGAGATTGCTTCCAGTAGTGTAGAGGTAATTTAAAATGTCACAATCTGCAAAATGCGGTGACCGACCTGTTCTAGCTCCATGCCTCAGCAATACTGAGAGTACCTAACGATTTCCTTTTCTATCAGCTCGTACATTTACCAATGAAAATAATGCCACAAAAACAATTGCACAAAGAAGTGACAGGTCTGTTAGGTACATTTCTTCAGCAGCACTAGTATAAGCAGAAAACACATTTAACTCTAAATTGTAAACAGTTGTTGAGGATTTTAGAAAAATATTCCACTTTAACTTAAAACAACAACCTAAAAGGAACAATAA